ACATGGATGGACCTTGAGGGTATTATGTTAAGTGAAATAAGCCAGAGAGAGAAAGATGTACTCTGCACGACTCCACTCATAGGTGGAAGTTAAACATATAGACAAAGAGAACTGATTGGTGGTTACCAGGGGAAAGGGGAGGTGGGGGGAGTGCACAAAGGGTGAAGTGGTGCACCTACAACATGACTAACAATAATGTACAACTGAAATTTCACAAGACTGTAAACTATCATAATCTTAATAAAAATTTTTTTTAAAAAAAAAGACAATGCCATAAATGGATTCACTGTTTAAAGTTTTCCCATGTTGTGAATTCTTTATTATTTGTTTCATCTTTCAATTAACTGGATTACATCTAAAGTAACTTTCAGGAAGGGTACATAGGTAGCTATATTTCTGAAGTTTTAACATATTGAGAGATCACCTTTCTATCATTAACTTGATGTGTTAATGACAACAAATCTGAGTAATGAATTCTTGGGTCACATCTTTTTACCTCAACACTTTGTAGATGGCATTTCATTTTCTTCAGGGATCTAATCTTGCTGAGATTTTTTGAGTCAGCCTCCAAAAGAATAAAATAACAGCAGCTAACATTTACTGAACATTTACTATTTGCCAGGTACCAAGCAAACAATGGTCCTAATAACCCAATGAGGCAAATGTTATTATTATCCAAATTTTGCCAATAAAACTGACCAAATGCAAGTATTTATAAAAACAAAGATACGAGCCAGATCTGACATGAAATCTGTGCTTTTCATGACTACAATCACCTTGCCAGTCCTATTATTCTAAGGTAAAGGGATAAACTCCAAGTAGGGCACAAGAAGTTTCTCGTGTGACCTGCTACTGGTGGGACCCTTCTGCAACTTCCTTACTAACTCAAGTACCCTGCCCCATGCTTTGATAAGAGAAGACATGTCAAATTAATATCCTTTTATAATTTAGTCCAAAGGTACTGTATTTTTTAGATATTATTGGAAGTTCTTTGATATAAGAATACAGACATTTCCTGATTTCAGTATAAATGATGTTTCTTTTCCTGTTCTTTTGGTATTATTTCTGATGGTTTTGAAGATGAGAAAAGTAAAAATGTATACTTTCTCTGTCATGATTTCTGGACTCCAGATAGATTGGAACCAAAAGAATTGGAGGCAGAGACACTCACTAGAGGCCTCTGCAATGCTACAGGTGTTCAGAGCTTCAGTAAAATCTAAGTAAAAGTTAAGAAAGAGAATTGATAAAAGTTGTTGACTCAAAGAAATTGAGAGAAAGAGAGAGAGATGACTCCTAGAATGTAAAATACAGGAAAGAAGGGAGAAAGTAATCAAGAATGTAGTTTGAGGCATCTCATTTACAATTCTATATACATTCCTCCCACATGACAGGTGCTTGAAGATTTGCTGAATTAAAGATTTGCCAGTGTGAACATGAATAGATCCTATAAACTAACACAGACATAGAAAATTAATGATATAGGTTCAGAGGCCCAGAATCTGAAAGAAAAGACCTAAGACCAATAAAGCTGTAAAATAAAAACAAAAAACAAAACTATTACTATTCAAAGTATACTCTTCAGGAAGCTGATCTCGACAGCTCTCAACATTTCATCACCATGACACTAATTAGGGTAAGGAGAGCTGACAGGTCCCTTTTAAAACTCTCTTTAAGGCTACTTGAATATGCTTTAATATCATTTGCTGATAAACTATTTAGGAGAAGGTAAGGCTTTTTAGTGGTTAGTTTTATATATTCCAGTGTAAAAAGAATTCTAGCATAGAAAAGATATATTAAAATATATATATGTATTTGTTTCATTCTGAATCAATTGCAAATTTAGAATTTGCAAGAATAGCACAAAGAACACCTGTCTGCCCTGCACCCAGATTTGCCAACTGTTAACATTTTGCCCAACATGCTTTACCACTCTCTTTTGCTTTCCCTAAACCTTTTGAAACTAAGTCCTAGACACATCCTTCACGATGTATTTCCTAAAAGAGAAGACATTCACTTAAATAATCACAGTACGATTTTCAAAATCAGGAAATTTAACACTGATAAAATACAATTATCTCATCTACAGCCCTCAAATGCTGCCAATTGTCCCAATAACGTCCTTTTCAGCAACTTTTGTTTATTTGATCTAAGATCACACATTTTGTTTTCATGACTCTTTAGTCTCCATTAATCTGGAACAGTTAGCTTCTCGGCCTTTGTCCTTTACAACACTAACATTTTTGAAGAACACAAGTCAGCTGTTTCACAGAATGTCCCTCAACTGGAGTTTGTCTGATATTTCTGCATGATGAGATTCAATGCTATGCTTTTTTGGCAGAAATATCACAGAAGCAATATCGTAGCCTTAGTGCATCACACCAGGAAGTGCAGCTTATCAGTAAGTCCCATTACTGGCAATATTAACCTTGATCACTTTGTTAAGGAGGAGTTTCTCCACTACAAAGTTATCATTTCTCGCTTTGTTACTAATAATTTGAGGGGAGATTCTTTTAACTACATAAATGTCCTATTCCTCATAAAACTTGCACTATTTTTAGCATGCACTGATAACTCTTGTCCGAATCACTTATTACCATGATGGTTGCAAAATGATTTAACTCTTTCATTATTATAAATCTATTAGTTGACATTCTATGGTAAGACGTAGAAGTTCCTTTACACCCATGTATTTATTTACTTATTAAATGTACGGATTCTTATTTAATTGAACAGGTTTATAGTCCATTTTATTTTGATACCAAATAGTCCCAGACACAGTAAGTTGGAGTTCCTTCAAGCTACTTTCTGTGTCCTTTTGACACGTCCCCACGATTTGTTTGAGCACTTCCTTGCTTTCTGGCACAAGATGTTCCATTTTGTAGTTCTCTGTACCATCCAGGGAATCAGCCACTTTTCCACATGCTGAGTTCTTTCAGCAGGAAACGTTTTTTTTAGAAACCAAGATCTGGTCTCAAGGTACACTCACTGCTAGTAACCTATCACCACTTCTAGGCCCTTTCAGCAGAACGAGCTGGCAGATATATAACATTTTTCTAAGTTATATTTTGAAAAATTATATCCAACTTAAGAAAAACAATATACTTTCCACTATAGCATTTGGCCAACACATATTTAACAGAAGTATCCACACAAAAAAACTGTTTAGTGAAATGCTCTTAATTTAATGATAGTTAATTTTTCCTTTTAAACTTTGTATGAATTTTCTTCTACACAGTAAGTTAGTCACATAAATTTTGCAATTTTATGAAAACAAGGCACACTCATAACTGTAATTTGATCACTTGACATTTAGAAGTCAAAGCTAGGAGAACCTCTTTTTCAATGGTAAGAGTAAAGAGAATTTAACAAAGCTCAAGAATAATTAATATTTGAAAAATAAGAGAATACAGGGAGCTTTAAGCTATTTTTTCCTTCTAACATTACAAAAAAATACTAAAATTAAGTTAGCAAGTTGATCAGAAGAGATAAATTAATCTTTTTAAAATACTGACTCCTTTGCCACTCCTTCCCTCCCATAAGAACTGCTGGAATATTCTGAGGGTGTGAGCACCTATGTGAACACTTTGGATACTTACATATCACTGCACATCTGATCCAGAGCGGTTGATAATAAGCAAGTTAAGTGGGACAGAATACACCTTAAAGTTGTTTTTGCTTTCTTAAATCTGTTTTCTCAGGTCACTCAATTTTATCACAGGCTTTCTTAAGTAATCATTTAACCTAACCAGCATCTATTAAATATCTACTTTATTCCTGGAGCTGAGCCAGGTGCTCCCTCCAAATACATCTTCTCTTTGACCTTACTGGGCAGTCCTTCAATCCCTCTCTTTTCACGTACGCTATCACCTGTTCCTCCTCACTTCACTTCATTTCCCACCCTATGTAGATCTCACAGTACATCAGTTCAGCCACCCTCTTGGCAGAATCCTCAATTTTAGACATCAACAATAGATGTCTAAAGCTCTCACACCACTAATTATACTCTCTTATATCTTTATTCTCTCTTTCCTTCAGTCTATAAAGTTCTCAAATATCTTGCATGTAAAAAATCTTCTTTTTAAAAAATCCAAGTATCTAAAAGTTTTCCTCCCCTTACTCATTGCAATCTGGATGTTATCCTTAACTTTTTCCTCTTCTTCATCCAACAAGTTAATTCATGGTTCCTCTTTCTTGTATTTCTCTATTCATCCTCACCGCAACTGCGTGAGTTCAGCCATGTCTGTTTCCACAGGACTGCTGCAGTAATGTCCCAATTCACCTCCGTGCCTCAAACCTCTCCTTCCAACATCCCCGTCCTCACCTACCTCTCTACATAGTGCTGCCAGAATACTTTTTATAAAACCCAAAACAAATAAATTGTCTCTCATGTTTAAAACAAATCTATGACTTCTCAGTGTCTAAACATGAAAATTCAAGTCTTCATGGAATACAAAGCCCTCTATTATCTGGCCCCTGTCTTACTTGTTGTAGAAATCCTCATCCCTCCTGAGCCACCCATACTTTCTTGAACCATAAGCTCAAGTCTTTATCAACAATACCTAAACCCCAGAACTACGCTGTTGATGACGAATATCCTGTGCTCACACTGTTCCATCTTCTGGAATTTCCATGCTCCCCTCCTGACACATTTTACTCTTACTCACCTGTCAAGATCTAGCTCAAAAGTCTCTTCCTCTGTTAAGTCTTCCCAGCTCACACAAATAGAGCTAGTCAGCCTTTCGTCACTCCACTTCACTCATGTATTTCTCTCTATTACAGCATATCCCAATTTAAGGTAATTCATTAACAGCATGTCTATAAACTGTGAGCTCCTTGTAGGCAATGGTTGCTTTTTAATCCATCACTATATCCTCTATGCCAATCATTCCAACAGGTGTTCAATAAATACTACTGAATAAATGAAATTAAAAACAGAATACAGAATGAGATTATAATCCCATAAAAACAACATAAGCCTGAATGTTAAAACATGTTCCTACCTGGTAACTAACTGTTTTCTTTCCATCACTTGCAGTGTGAGGTAAGGTCAATGGTCCAGAGACTATCCAAACATCTTCAAACCTCTCTGTCAGTTCTCGACAGTACATTTCTATTCTGAAAAACAAGGCAAAAATATGTATGATGTTCTCAGACATATATGTAGAGAAGAAACAAACCATATCAACTTCCTAGGAAAGAAACCAAGAATAGTGAATTTAAGAAATTAACGTAAACAAGAGAATACTGCACAAACATTATAAGCACATAAGCAGTGACTGTCCCAGTTTCCTACTGCACAAAAAGACTTAAAAATCACACAATTAAGATAACTATCTACACTTTCCTATGTGCATTTAGCATGCATTTTAAAGCTGAAATTTTGTTTTATTTTCTCTTATTTTTCTATGTCATAGTTCTCAAATAAACTTTTTTCAAGAATTATATATCATTCCAATAAGTTGCTATACCTTATTTATTTAACCATTCCTATTGTGGGACAACTGGAGTTATCCTAACATTTCTTATATAATGTAACACTGTATTAATTCCTTAGGATAAATTTCAAGGGCCAAAATTACTTTATTGAATAAATATTTTAATGATGCTTGATTATATATCAAACTAATATTTTTAATGAGACTGTATCAATTTACTCTATAAACTCCAAAATATGACACAGCAGTTTCACAACAATCTTTACAACACTGGACTTATCACTTAAAAACTGTTTTTGCTAATTTACTAGATAAAAATGGCAAGTAGTTTTAATATGCACTTTCTTATACTGCAGTCGAAGAGATTTATGAGAGATAACAATGCATGTCATCATTCTTCAGTTTCTGTATCTAAAAAGTAAAATCAACATTATTATATCTTATAGTATGTATGCCCAATTATAAGGTAAATTTTTCCTCCCAAAAATATATCCCTTGGTAAAGGAAAATGTTAAATGTTTCCACAGGTATGCAATCAGCCAGAAGATGGAAAGGAAACTATAGGACAAACATCCTAGACCTTGAACAAATAATTTGCAAGGGGAAAAAAAAAGAGGAAGGTAAACCTACAGATTAAAAAAAAAATTAAAGACAATCAGGGAAATTTGAAGACTGATTGTAAAACTGCTAATAAGGAAGTACTATTAAACTGTTCGGGGGCAATAACAGTACTGGTGTTATATTTTAAAAGAGTCCTTATCTTCTAAAAATATTTACTTATGAAATACTTATGTATAAAATTATATATTTTTCACCTGCTTAAAATAATCTGAGCAGGGGAAAGGGAGCGTATGTAGATGAAATAAATGTGGGCCGTGACTAATAATCATTGAAGTCTCTTTTAGTGTGGGCTGCTCTCTTAATTACTTTAAACCACAAAGTACTGTGGGGAAAACACAATAGCCTGAAACAACCTCCAGCAGTACTCGTTTCAGATGCTTAGACAGTACCCCCTGACAGAAGTGCTTAAAAAGTATCCAAAAAACGCAGAAAGTCCAGATGAATTTACAGTTAGGTTTTATCAAAAACTGGTTAATGGTTATGTTTAATTGTACCAAAACTTTTTTTTTTTAAAAAAAAAAGCTCAGCAACTCTTGATTCTTGAAATAAGGAGGAGAGAAAAATATAGTGTTCTCTGGACATATTCAAAAATATTTTATTGCCTCAGTAATAATATTTTGAGTAGCTTCTTCCAGAACTTGACTTCTGATCAGTGGTAAACATGATCAAAATGGCTGGCTATGTTTTGAAGTCTGTACTCCCATAGAAAACCGTACTCCTGAAATATAGCAAAAGAAAAACCTAGTCCAAAGTACGTACCTTTAGTAGTTTAAGCTTTGGAAAAACAAAGACAGAAACAGTTGACGGACACACTAGTACATTCTCCCACAGAATCACATTTTAAAAACTCTCACCCCTCACCTGTTCCAATATCCAGCATTATTATCAAAATTCTGTGGCACAATATTAGAAAGGTAAAATGTTTCAGCCATGGCTTTCTGTGAAAAGAAATTAAAATAGTAACTTGCACTGAAATGTCCTCCTCTTTGAGAGATTTTACAAAGCAGACACAGAAAAACAGTTCCTTATTTATACTTTAGCTCTAGGCAATTACAGTGACTACTTGTTTTGATAAATGAAAGCCAGAGCCATTCCAGGACAGAAAGCTCAATAATGATTATTCAAAATAAGTAGTTTGGTATGCTAGCTTTCTTTATAATTTATAAAATTCAAACCTATGTAGTCTCGAAGAACTAAACATTTCCAATATAAAACTAAAGAGTAAATTCTGGTTTTAAGCCTCTGGCAAAGGGTTTCTTGGTAAAGGTCAACTTTCAAGAATTTTATTAAGTAGGAGAGTACAAACATATTAGTTCAAAAGCGGCAGAGAAAAATTTCTTGTTCTTCTGCATTTCTGGCCACTATGTGTTCATTTATTTCACACTTCTGACCCATAAATACAAGGCTCTATCATTGTATTTCCTTTCACCGATCTATACTGCCAAAGCTACCAATTACCTTCTCTTCAAGCAGTGGCTCTCAACCTTGAATGCATGGTGGAATAACTTAGGGCTTTAAAAATACTGATTCCAGGGTTCCACCCCCCCCAGTTTCTAATTTAATTGCTTTGGGTTACAGGTCTGGCCATTAGGATTTTTTAAAACTTCCCCAGGTGACTACTGAGTATCCAAGGTTGGGAACCACTATCTTAACATTAATAATCACCTACACTTCATGAAATAAATGTAAATGCCATAAAAGACATTTCTCTCCTTTTCTGGCAGATAAATTATCCTAAATTAAAGGAGACTAGAAAGATATGACAACTAAACATACTATGTGATTCATGACTGGATACTGGATCAAAAAAAAGCTGTAAAAGACATACTTGGGACAATTTGGCACACATGAATTGTATATTAGACAATATTATTGTACACATACAAAAATACTTTTGCACATATTTCTTGGTATAATGATACTCTCATCATATATATAAATATCTTCTTTCTTAGATGATACAATCCCTTGAGTGATCTATTTAGGAATGAAGTGTTATGATGTGTGCAATTTACTGTCCATGTTTTAAAAAAAATTAATATACATATATATGCACATGTAAGGTAAATGTATTAAAATGTGTTTGCCGTGCTATCTTCTCAACTTTCCTACAGGTCAAAATATTTCTGCTGTACTCTTTTCAACTTTTCTACATGTCTGAAATTTTTCAAAATAAAAATTAGTAGCTTTAGCTCCTAGTGGCTTTCCAGTTCCCTTTTACACAGCATTTAGTTTTCCTCACTCAACCTGTAACAATGTCTCAGCATCTGAACAAAAAACGGAATTAGAGTCAGGAAGAAAAATACAAAATAGAATATGGAAAGTCTCAAATTTTAAGGTTTGGCTCCTAAGTTCTTAATCTACAAGTCCCATGGGACGCATAATCCCAGCCCCACATTCCCATCCCTCCCCAAAAATATGCCTACAGATGAAAATTTGTTATTTCCTGCTGGAGCCATGTGTCCTCGTGACCACCCACTTCCAACATAGTCCTCGTTTAAGGCACTGAAGGTTGGAGGGATGTTGGGATCAGGCTTGAATTTACAATGTTTTCTGTCTGCATCACCTGAAGAAAAACACACAAAACGGGTAAGCTGTCAGTGGACAAACATCCCTCAAGATTCTCTAAGCAAGGCAAGCTGGTTGCTGCTGGCTGGTATCTCTCTAAGCAGCTAGTAGTTAGTGATTGCGTGCATGTCTCAAGTTCCTGGGATAGTTCAGATACTTCATCTGAATTTAGCAAGGCCTAGTCTAGGAAAGAATGCTTTTCATACAGTGTAGCTATCTCATATACTTTTGTTTCTGGCCTTTTAAGTTAAAGGAAAAATGCCCTGGATAGGATTTAAGTAAAAACAATGACCAAATAGCTAAACTGTATAAAAAGCTCAGGTACTAAATAAACTCTTGCTTTTCAAAAAAGACCTCTATGTACTGTATTTTGTACAACTGTATTTGACAAGTTTGTATGTACTGAAATAATGGATATATATAGACACAAAACAATTTGTTCTGGGCAGGAATAGCCTAGGGCAGGGGGAGAGTGTCTCTGTTATCTTGCTTACTGCCTCTTAAGCCATGACAAAACAAACATTTAGGTTATGAGCTCAATCCAGAAATTCCTGAAATAAAACATCTGAGTACCACATGGGAGAGAAGAAATCTCAATTTTATTTATATTCTGATACCTCAAGAATAGTTTGCCACTGTAGACATCAGCAAATCCTAACACTACATTCTCCACTGTCATTAGGACAGATCTTGTTAAGCTACAAAAATTATGAGGAAAAATGGAATATACTCAGGCCGCTACTCAAAAAAGTGTAAATGGAGATCAATGAAGTCACTGATTCCAATGTCATTTCATTCACCCAAGGAAAATTTAAAATCATCAGATCCCCAGGTTCAAAGTATCTAATATATAGCTTGTCAGAATCACTTCATAAAGAAAAAAATAACTGGGGGTCAGCCCGGTGGCACAGCGGTTAAGTTTGCATGTTCCACTTCTGCGGCCCAGGGTTCACTGGTTCGGATCCCAGGTCAAGCCATTCTGTGGCAGGTGTCCCACATATAAAGTAGAGGAAGATGGCCACGGATGTTAGCTCAGGGCCAGTCTTCCTCAGCAAAAAGGAGGATGGGCGGCAGATATTAGCTCTGGGCTAATCTTCCTCAAAAAAAGAAAAGAAAAGAAAAAAAGAACTGGTAACACAGCACAAGTATTAGTAAAGTTCTCTAAGTGTCATTACCATTGGAATCGCTTCCTTGTATGCCTGGTTATCTTTGCCTGGTGCTCACTGCCCTTGAAAAAACATTTGTAGGAATTTCCAAAGGTCTAGGATGAAGATGCCTTCCTTGAGAAAGGATGTAAATTTACTTCTGTCAAGTGTCTGGAGGCAAACCAGTGGGGGACAACATTAAACCAAGTTCAGGGCTTAAGGTTCCTTGATCTATTCAGGCTACATGGCTTTGGGCTACAAGTCTGCATCATAGCCAGTCTGTGGCCTCAACTTCTCTGGAATAAGCTTTTTATTTTCCTTTTGACCCTTCCCTGCTCAGTGCCAAGACAACCTTCTATAAGTCCCCTGTGGTAGACAGGCAGATTAATGCTGGTTCGTCCTTCCCCGAGGGTGCAGCTCTCTGGGGTTCCAGGTTAACATATGGGGAGGATATCTTAGACAGTCTACCTTGGTGAGCCTTGAGTCTGGCGTTCAGTCCCCCTCACCCTGTAAGGCTGCAGAACAAAAGAAACGCGGCTTTGGTTTGCCAGGACTGCCCTTACCTTTCTCGATGCTGGCCTTCACCCAGATATTGGCCTGGCAATTCACCACTATCATGCTGGCTCTCTTCCTCTTCTTTCTTAGAGATTTTTTTCTCTATACTTTTTACATACTGAGAATAACATTTCTCATTGTTTTTAGCAGGAGAGTAAGTCTGAATAATTTAGTCTGTCATTACTGAAAACAGAAGACTCTTTACACTGAAATCAAGTAATCACAGGTATCTTGCTCCTGTTCTCAAATAACATTATTTTACCGCCTCAAAAGTACACAGCTCACAGGATTTACAATAAGAAATGCAGTGCTTTCCTCATATGCCTCTGAAAATGATAACTTAAGAGCACGATAAAATTAGTAAAGCCAAAGTTCCTTATATCTTGGGAATATTTCTGTATTTAAAGGAAATTCATTAAACTTGAGACTAAATCAAGAATTTCTCTTGACGTAAACTTATAATCAACTCTCAGGTGCTATGATAAAGTTTACACCTGCATCAGTTTCCCTCCACCAGCAAGCACGTTCCAAACTTCCTGCTATTCTGCTGGTTGGTTTGCACTCTAGAAACGACACATTCACATTTTAACATCACCATTCTAATATACATAAGCATAGCATGAATTGTAAAGCAGAGAAGAAACAATTTGTGGGCCACACAGCAAACTAAAAGGCAAATAACAAAATGGGACTTAAACAACTATAACAAAAGGTAATATACTTAATATAGAAAAGAACTCTGATAAATCAATTCAAAAAAGAATTATCTCAACTGAAAACGGTAAGACTAATCTACAAAAAAACAGTAATTCACAAAATATTAACCCTCACCGGTAACCAATAAACACAAATGAAATCAGCTATTAAACTTGTAAAGCTCAATAATACTCATTATAGGTAAGGGTTGGGAGAGACGAGGACAAAGAGTGATGATGGGAGTGTAAATTGGAATAATCTATCTAGAAACCAATTTGACATTAAATATCAAGATCTGGTCATCTTAATTACAAGAATCTACCAAGACATAAGGACATATGAACAGACTTACACACCTGCCTACCTCTCCAGTCTCATTTCCTATCATATTCTCCCTTGCTCCAGCCACTCTGGCTTTCTTTTAGTTCCCTAAAGGAACAAAACTCGTCACATTGGGGCCTTCAAAGATGCAACGGTGCTTTTTTTTCTGCCTGGAATGCTCTTCTCCACATCTCATGGCCCACTCAACTCCTCTGCCTAGCCAGCCACCCCTTCAGGCTACTTTCTCAGAGAAGTCTCGCTAATCAAAATCAGGTTCTCCTGTTATAATCTCTTATCATATTCTTTACTGTTCCTTAATTACACTAATCCAACTTGCAATCACTTTTCCTTCAGAACAGTTATTATCAATAGTAATTATATATTCACAATTATTTGTTTGATAGGTCAACCCACCCCCTTCCCAACTCAAAGTGCCACAGCGGGATAGAGACCATCTACTCTGGTCACTGATATATCCCGAAGGCTTAGCACAGTGCCAGACACATGGTAGGCACTTAAAAAATATTTGTGGAGGTAATGAATGAATGGTGCTCACTGCAGCAATATTTATGACAGAGCCTCCAATTTGTGTGTGAAGATACAGATCCTCTCAGCCCCTGAGACAGCTGGGAAGGGTCTGGGGCTCCCTGGCTGCCAGGAAGGGTCTATTTATCTAGTAAGCCATACAAACATCATCATTTTCTAAATGCGCGGTAATGTGAAAAAAGGTTGAGATTATCAATAATCCCTGTTCTAAATTTGGAAACATCTTTCATCAATGCCTTTACTTCTAACCACCTACCCATTATCTTGCTTTTGGATATATGTTCAAGAACCCATCTAGGCACCCGCTTTGACTGATCATAAGACAAAGCATGATTAGTGTAACACCTAGTTTCTGTTCCAGTTAAAGGGAATCCAAATTGTTCCAAGAGAGCCTTTTCTGCAGAACCTAAAAATGGAAAAAAGGGGGAAAAGAACAAAAATAAGAAATAGCGACTATTATTAGAAACAAAAAATTCTAAGTAAAGGGAGAGGAGTGAGACTTAACAAAAGACTGACTCAAAAGTCTAATGGACCAGGACAACTCATTTTTGCAAACGCTTACAAAGCAGAGGAAAGACACAACAGGCAAAATACTGGCTTTGTCTATGATCAACTGCATAGTTACATCAAGATAAACTGCAGCTATCTCATTAACTTTTAAATAAGGACCTTATCTTACTGGTCTTTCACATAAAATTTCCAAATCTCTGCCCCACAAAGTACTGTGTATACCACAGAAGTAAAGGAAAAACTCCCGTCACTACTTGTCACTGATATGATTGAACAGGAAAGAGCCTACCTACTCATCACTTTTTAATAGCGAGGGGACAAAAGCACAGTCTTCTAAATTTTTTTTAAAAGATCATTATTCATTGACACTCTTCCTCAATGTTCTGGTACTGAAGCAGACGTGTGCTGCAGCAAGACAGTGGTAAAACTGGTACCGTTTTTCCTAGCGAGGGAAACCCAGCACGCGTTTAACTGGAAGTCAATTTCAGAATAATCCTCTCTTGATGCCTTCTCTAGTCTTCAAGCCATCAGAGGTGTCTTGCTAAATGCCCAGTATCAGAAGGAGCAAGTTAAACTAGCACGTCGGGGAAAGCGTAAAAAGGAGCGTGAATTCATTTTCTTTATCAAATATAAGGTATCCCCTGGTAACGTGATGACATATACTTTAAAGAAGGGCTGGCAGGTATTCTTCATCTGAACGATGACAAAATGAGGACAATTAACTAATCTGATAAAACTATGTTAACTTAGTCATTCATTCATACTTATTGAACGCAATTGTGTACCAAGTACCGTGCTGTGGACACGGTGGAGACTACATTGGACACAGTCCGAGCTCCTAAGGAGCTAACAATCTAGTGGAGGACCCAGACATTAAAACATACAAATCGTGATAAATACTCTGGGGGCAGAAGGAGAGAAAATGAAGATTCCACGGAAAGGAAGTGTACGTGAAGGAGGCAGGCGACACTCAAGGTGGAGAGAGGAGGCCAAAGCCAGGCAGATGGAGAGCCGCCCGGCGAGGATCAAGATTCACGCCCGAGGAAGAAGTCGGGCCCTAAACCCCGGGAAAGAAAAGCCGGCCCCAGACTTACCGCCGGGCTCCCTCACCGCCAACGCCGCCTCAGCGCCCTGACTCCGGAGGAACTGAACGGCCGTGAACCCGGCTCCCGCGGCGCCCACTACAGCTCCGGCCACGAAGGCACTCAAAAGGTGCCGGGAGCCTCTGAGACGGGAAGCAAAACTTTTGGCAGCCATCTTAACCAAGGCAACGTGCCTTTTGCCACAGCGCATGCGCCTACCAGGTCTGAGGTGTGAAGGCCAATCACAACAGCGGGACCAAGACACGCATGCGCAATCTGGAGTCGCCGTGGCCTGAGTCTCTCAGGAGACGCCGGAGGTCCAGAGCGCAAGCTCACGCGCCTCTCCGCTGAGGGCCTCGCGCGCCCCCTGGTGACAAACTTTGAGGCCCAGGAGCAATCCCACCTTCACCCCTGGTCCACTTGACTGGATGATGAGGGAGCATGACATCTTTAGGGCTCAGTAGTGTGCATACATATCCTGAGAAGAAAATACCTTTAGTCTAGGCCCACTTAAAAGGTGAGTAAACCACTTGCGCATGGTTACACTAAGGTCCCTGGAGCCAAGATTCCAACTCAGGTCTGATTCCAAAACCTGTGCCACATTGGCTATCTTGATGACACCTGTCTTTGAAGTCACATGTAATACAAATATTAACTTCTAAAAATAGCTTTGTACCTGCTAAGGAGTTTCTTGACAAGACAGTATGGTGACGAGCCATGGTGGCTTAGGACCCTGAGTGCAAGGGGTTTGGATCCTCACCCAACCACTGTCGGTCCACCTTGGATGTGTTGCTTCACTTTTGTAGGCTTCCGCTTCCTCTCTTTTAAATGGGGATAATCGACCATAGGGTTCTTGCGAGGATTAAAGGATATTAACCATATAAAAGCGTTTAGGGAAGAACCTGGGGCATGTTAAGTGCTCTCTAAATGTTAACCACTTTTGAGTCATTTTTACTTTATCTTGATAGGATATAAAATCCAGATGGCTGAATGCCTGCTGACAAAGGAAGGATATATGCACTCCCACTGACAAATAGATGGATCTTCTTCCTTTTGCAGCGCAATCTCCAGCATTCCATGTGGACTTAGGTCACTAAGCAAGAGGCCATTTCTAACAACCAACTGAAAAAGGGTAGACATTGTTTAGACAGCTTCATGGCTCCATACCCCTTTCCCAGGCATACCTCTCCAGAAGTCATCTTGTATAATCCCCTGGGCCTCTGACCCTAACTGGCTGAGCTAGGTCAACCCAAGTCTTTCCAGGGATTTTGGATCTGGAACTCTCTCCAGGTAGCAAAGGTGTAACATGAAACTCTGGCACTGTACAGCCTTGTTTCCTGCTAAGTAGACAAAGGAGCAGATGCATCTGGTCTTGCACTGAGCAACAGTGGAAGAAATGCTGAGACAGAGGTGAAGGCCTGCATTGCTGTCACCCCAGCTGTGACCCCAACTTCCAAGGCTCCTGAAGCCCAGGCACATCCTGCCTTTCCCTGAGGCTTCTCTGGCCACTTGCCACAGGATCCTTCCAGTAAAGCCCCCTCTTGTTTAATGGTTTCTGTCATTTGCAACCAAGAGTCCTGATAAATACAACCCGGCAACACTGGTATCTGTAGGTTTCAAAGCTACTTCAGCAGCTTCCACCAGAATTTACTAAATACACACATTCACTTAAGAGGTATTTCTCAAGGCCCTCCTAAGTGCCATGCCCCATGCCAAACACTAGAAAGAGAAAGATAAATGGTAGGTGACTCTTCCTCATCCAGATCCTGTACTTGGGAACAACAGTGAACCCCACATTTGGGCCTGAGGTCAAGAATTGGAAGGGCTGCCTGACTTTGTGTAAGTAGCTCCCTCTGGGCCTGTTTGCCCACCATAAAGTGAAGTGACTGGACCAGTAGTTTTAAAACTGTAATCAGGGGGAACCCTAGTGTTCCACAGGGGTACTTGAGGCAGGTTGAATGGCTCTTGTGCCCTCTTCTACTTGCTCACTTGGGCAAGCCTGGTTTTATGCAGCAGCTTCTGTGTCCAGTTTCTTTGGGTGAAAGCAGCCTTTGCTGAAGGAAACATTTTACCAGATGACCCCACGGTCCAAACTTCCAGTGTTTCTAGCTCCAAAGTCCTCATTCAAAAATGTTAGCCTTTTGCCTTTGTCTCCTTCTCTGTGCTCGTCATTAGGGGCACTCACTAATGAAAGGTGAACTTGCTAAATCTGAAAGAGCAAAAAGGGCCCAAAGCTGGACAACTGGTCCCTAAATCAAGGGCCCTTTCATCAAAAGTTGTTCCCCAAGAGCTCCAAGCAGGTTGTTTAATCCTCATAATAAAGGGTAAATAAAAGGCATTAAATAACCCCACTCGAAGGCTTCAAAGCTGGTGTTTCTTCACTTAGCAAATATTAGTCATGGGCCAAAAAAATCTTTTATGTTACTGCAGAAAGCGGTGAGGTGATTTCTGGGATTTTCCTATTTTCTTTGTCAGTTAGTAGAGACTATCATCATCATTTTATTAGCAGGGAACCATGTTTTCATTTCCTGAGATAAGTCAGGAACTCCAAAACATGAGCCCTGGCTTGCTGATTCAGATCTGGAGTGGTGCCCCATAAGTATATTTTTTAATAGCTCAGCAAGTGACCCTGGTACTCAGCCATGTTTGGAATGGCAGGGCTTGTATCCTGCAGGAGTCCTGAATATAACTTACTTTCTAGGCTTCTCTGCTCCACTTACAAAAATATTGCTCAGTCCTATAATTCTGCGAAGTATAGGACTGGGGGTGTGTGTGTGTGTGTGTGTGTGTGTGTGTGTGCAGGATCTTGGAGATCTGGAAAACAGACCCCTGCCCTGCAGGAACTTATCCAGAGTCCTCGTACAGGCCATTTAGGAGAAGCCCCATGTCTCCAACAAGGTCCTAAGCTTGGGAAGGGCAAAAATGGAGGCCTGTGCTGAGCTCCAGCCCTGCAGGATGGTGGGAGACTAGGCAGTCAACCATTAAGAACTGATGTGTACCAAGCACGAACTCACAGAAGTGTTCGAGTTGGCCCTGTAAGTCGGAAACAACATTTTATTTATTTGTAATTCCCATGAAAAGAAACATCAATCCTCTGCCATGTGATTAAGAAAGACAACAGGGTTTCATTATTATTATTATTTTATTTTCATATACAAAAAGATAAAACTTGAAATAGCTCTAGATTTTCCCTCCTATTCTGTTGGGGTGTGGCTGCTCCTTCACACAGGGGGAAAAAACTACATTCACATCGGTTTATTTGAGGACCCAGTGCAGAGTTCAAACAGCAAAACCCCAACTTAGCAGATCTAATTTCAAACTTGACACTCATTTCTAAAATTACCACAGTAAAAAGGAACAAAGATCCACTGCAAATGAATGAACCATATGATACAATGCTCTTTCCAAAATGTCTTCATTTTGCAACTGTAATTACACAGATGTCTGCTTTTGGCCATTTTAGATGTGTGCGTGTATATAATATATATATGTGTGTGTGTGTTATATATATATATATATATATATAAATCAGCACACCTTCAAATCCAGACAGGGTGACAGCAACAAGCTTAACTCTGTATATATATATATTTTAAAACATGATACTTTAGTATATCTTTTGTTAATTCAGTAGTACAAGCTATTTCTGTTCTACAAAATTTTTATTTTATAGCTACAAGGGTGAAAAGTGACCTATTACATATACAAACAATACTTACTGAATTTGAGCCAAAAACTTTAAGTCTTTAGTTTTAGCACTTGAAGAGCTTCCTCACTTCTACAGCCTTAAATCATATACTAGTCACATTTCCAGAGTTTGCAATTACTCATTTTTAAACCGCGAGAAACAGGTGAATCCAAACTTTTAATTACAATTTTTATATACAAGTTAGATAACACAGCTCAATAAGACTTCGCTATCCATCCTAAACCCAACACACACATTCTCCACTAAGTTAGACAAGTCTTAGGGTTTTCCTTCTTTTCCTTACAAATAACGTACAAATTTAGAAGTAGCTGGTAAAACTGATACAGAAGATGGAAAATGAGAGGTGACATTTTCTGTTAGTTCCAAAATTGGTCCTGCAAATTTCGTATTCTGCTGTGTTCTTTAACTGTGTGTCTGTTACATGCAGAAGCTCTTTTCACAAGAATTAACATCAAACTCGATGTAAGTTAAATTTACAGTACTGTATAAAGTTATTCAGATTCAAGGACAAATGTGGAAAAATATTAACAGGTGAAAAATTTGGCCTTTGACACTAACAGGATCACGTCAAATTCATAAGCAGATTCTTTTGTACAGTTGAAAAATGGCATTGTGTGGATTTGTGGTGTGGAACTGAAATCTAGAAGTATGTTTCTAATCTGCGGTAACCCTCACCCTCAATTCTCAAGTACCACTCAATTTTCTTTGCGTTTTTACAGAATTCTAGAAGAAATGGTGAAAAAAAGCCACTGGCATTTTAACAATTCTTCCCCTCACAGGAGTCTTAACACTTTCCCATGAGGTCTCCTAAGAATCTCTGTATGGTCACTGGCTCCCAGACAGCCTTTGACAATGACTTAGACACTTTCCAAATCAAGCCCCAGATGTTGCCTAATCTTTCCTACTCTCATCTCTGTCACTGCTGGTAAAATTTGGATGAGCGCGCTTTTCCCTTACGGAGAAATTATTTGGCTAAACATACACTTAACTCGTGGCAGTGCTCTGAGAAAACCCCACTTGGGCTAAAGCACTTGCAGGGACTGAAGTCAACAGTCCACTGAACAGGGCAGAGACCAAACACCCTGAGGGCTGAGTCCGGACCCACTGGACACACTGACCTTGGTGTCCACAGTCAGCGGGACAGTCCAGGCAGGCAGCCCACGCTTGTATGACTGAGTTACCACTTTTAATCTTGTTCTGCCATCTATGCCCCAGAGACAAAAATTCAGATGTGGTGACTGCTGGTTAATTAAACTTCTTGAACTGGTAAAAAAGGCTCTTTAAAAAATATATATATATTTATTTAAAATACATCAAAATGACAAACAGCCATATCCCGCAAGGCCTAATTTCACAGCAACATATGCTACAGACATCTTCCCAAAATGCACCATGGTAGATGGTGGGTTTTTCAATCCTGCCATTTAAAGGAATGTTCTACATTTGAGCTTTAGTGACTGGAAATGTGTTACAAAGAGCTCATCTTTGGAACTAACTTGTGTGCAAGACCAGCCAATTGAATCACTTTGCCTATTCAGACATGAGAATACTGAAAATGGCAGAATTCAAAGAGGAACATAGGAAGCACCGTTCAGATGACGCTCTAGACCCATCCCACCACAGTGCTGTTAAGAGCTTGCCAGAAGCCCCTTTGTCAGTCCTTGGGAAGAGTTTTACTTTAAAACAAAGAAGTGCCCATACTTGGCAGGGTTCCCGCGTATGTATGTTACAAGCCTGCAGTATTGAGAGGACCCAGATGGTGACATTGTTCAACATGAGGTCTGAGGTAACTGGTTCTTAAAATACCTGGAGCACAGAACTGCATCCAGAAATTACAGCTGGAAAAAAGCAAAAAGGTGGGGTTTGGGGCTAGAAAATACCAGTAGAAAAAAGCTTACAGCAGTTGCTTTTGTGGGGAGCCAGGTGACAAAAACAAAGGCACAACAGAATTACATTCCAAGATGTGGCTAGAGAGCAGAGAAATGTTCTTTCATGGGGAACAGGGAAAGGACCAATGGGCTGGTTCCCAGAGTGCTACTGGATCTGCTGAAACTAAATTTATTCCAAGTATAAAAGGGGTAAAGTGTAAAACTTTACTCTAAATCAGACTGAATAAAAAGCACAGCTGGTTTTAAATGACACATTAGGGATTCTCCTGACAAAACTGTCCCAACCAGTGCACCACTGGGCACAGCAGCCTGAAAAGCCAGCAGGCAGGGTCTGGGGGACAGGCCTTCAGCTGGACCTCCGGACTGGCAATTACAGATAGAAACAATCAGCTTCATTATCCACTTCCCTTAAATCCCCATCAAAAAGGTTCACCCAAATAACCACCCACTCTCTACCCCCAAATAAAAAGCTAACATGAAGGCCACCTTCCTATCATGGCAGTGATGCTGACCTTTGTAGGAAGAGCAGGAAAACCTGTGTCAACACTGCAAAGATGCTCTGCTGCTACAGGGTTCGGAGCTCCCTCAACGGGCTCCTGGCCAACCACCCTCACCTCCAAACTGCCCTGAGCAGAGAGGACAAAGGAGCTGGCAGCTCTCCATTTAATTTGACCACCATGTCCACATACTACCCATTCCACCCTCCCCCTTTCCAAATCATTTCTCAACTGGAAATTCTGTCCTGAAAACTAGATAAGTTGGTCCTAAATAGTTCAGTTTTGTGGATTACTCAAATCACTAAACCCTCATTTCAAATGTTTGTAGCCTATTTCTTATTCTAGTCCCAACCCACCCCAATCTGCACCCCCATACAATTTCTGTTCCCCAAAACACCCTCACACTACCACGTCCTAGGGCAGGAGCTTACAAACGACTTTTTAACCTGAGAACCCTTTATTCAAAAGAAATCTCAGAGGAAGCGCAAATGTAGAACATACTGCAGGCTCCTCTCGCCTCTCCCCATCCCCTCTTGTCCCAACCTGCAAGAGCCGAACTGAAGCATCACTGTCCTACACAGCCACAAGTGGAGTTTTGGCCAAACAAGACCCAGAAATGGACTCCAGTCTGTCAGTGTATCATGAGAATCCACATGGGCACTAAGTAGAAACGCCACACCACTCACACTCCAGTGTACGTTTATCTTGAAAGGTAAAGCTCGTTATTCTGGTTACAAAATCATTCTTATTCAAACTCACTAGACTTTATAAAAATAATCTGTGGTATAAAACAATCTCGACACTGTGCAGAACAATCTGTCAGGTGATATAACTAAATATATATGTAGAGCTATAGGTTTTTTTAAAGTAAAATTTCAAGTGTCGTATCTCTATTATATAACCTATTTTTTTATTTACAATGCTACCTAAAAACATTCCAATGCAAACGTGATTGGGACAGGCAGGGAACGAGCCCATGCCCAACCAACAGCAGAAATTCCCAGACTCAAGAAAGAACTCATCCATTTGCAAAAAAACCCATCCTCACCTGCCCAAAAAGCATTAGATAATGGGTCTTATTTTTCCTAACTGTGAGCTCAAAAATGTAAACTTTGCAAATGAATGTAACACTTTTCTGTAGATGTCCAGAAGAGCGCATGTTTGTATGATCCATTGCATACACACATATGTCCGTGTGTGCATTTCTTTAGTGTCCTGTAGTTGGCTTGCAGTAGCTCTCAGAATGGCCCAGGCCCCAGACAATCCAAAGACACTCCTGGAGACAAAAGGGGAGTGCAGGGCCATCAGCGCACACTGGCATGTAGAGAGTATGCCTTTTAATTCAAGAGGAAAAACCACTTCTGTTATCTCTACGAGCTGCCATAGGAGCAAATAAAATATCACTGGTTTGGGCACTACAGGGATATATGGAGTACCACAATCAAAAAGTCCTGCTTCACTCACACCTGGAAGATACTGTCACAAAGTGTAAAAGCTTGGTAAAAATTTAAATAGTGGTAAATCCTTTAAATTCAAAACCTCATCCAAACCATTACAGTGGACCCAAAATGAGTATAAAACAGGAATACTCAAAATATCCCTAGATAATTTGGACTTTGATGATAGTTTATGGGTCTCCTGGACCCACTCACTGTTTTTAAAATGTGGCTGAGTCAACTGAATTAAATTTAGGAAGGAGTGGTGTTCTAAACTTCCGATTTCTTTTTCCTACAAAACTAAATCATTATCTTAAAAAACTTTTCCAAGCCTTTTAAAGGTTTGGGATACATTCATATGTGGATTGCTGGTTACAAATCAACTACCAGGAATCTTACTTAAAGAACTATGTGTATAACCCTGAATTCATTTAACATTTGCAAATCTAGACTGAGAAGATAAACATCAAGTGAATTACTGGGCCACTTTCTTTACCTAAAAGATTACTGTTGATCAAGACCTAAACTCATCATTACTAGGTTGAACACATTAGCTGCTGAGTATTTTATTAGTTCAGCTTATGTAAACAGCCATTGACCGAGGAGAATTCATGTCACTCAAATGAGAAAAAGCCACCGTGCCCTTGCCTTTCTGGCTGCTCACCCTGTTTGAAGGGTAGATGAATAAATTCACTGTGCTTCTTGGAAAGGTCTAGTACCCCTGAAATGGGAACCATGCCTGGCCTCTCTCCAAAGATGAGCCATTAAGAACCCAACAGGTTACTGAAATAGCTGGTACTAACGATCAAACCAAGTTAACTCCTGGAAAATGCCTTCCAATTTAGATATCGTTCTAGTGAGCCAAGTTCTCAGGAATAATGCCTGACTATTTGACTTCTAGTACCAGTTCTAAAAACTTACATACTTATGTTTACCATAGTACTACAAAACATCAAATCCTTCTATTATCAATAGGTGCTGGGAATTTACAATGCATTCTAAAAAAGGCAAAATTCCATTTGCAAGGGGGCCACCCAGTCCTCCCACCCTGGATAGGATAGCCACTTCCCTGCCCTCATGGCTCAGAGCACAGTGGCCATGTAACAGGCTTTCAGAGCCACATACAGCACAGGGTGGACTTTGAATACACAGCTGGGCTTGCCACCAAGGAAACACCACACACACAGCCCAAGCACCCACTGCAGAGAGGCAGGGTAGCAGGGAGCAAGAACATGGCCAATTGGAGAGAAAGGTGACAGAGCAGAAGTAAAAGATCACCTGCTTTGCTTTCTAAACCATGACATGAGAAGCCATGACAAGAGAGTTGGCCTGGACCCTAGGGGCAGTGGAAGAACTATCTCGGTGGCCTGGAGGTGAGAAGCCTTTCCCTTGGCTGAGAAAATGAGTGGGGGGCTCAAGCCTCCTGAAGATGTTCAAGGCTGGACAAGGTCCTTCTTGTTCTGTACAAATGCCCCAAGTCCAGATAAGGTGAATTCTAAGTCAGAAGCAGCTGGCACACACGGGGAAGCCCTCCTCAGGCAGGACTGATCCCTCCGGGCACCTACCAAGAGCCAAGAGGACAGGAAGGCCATGCTGAACAACAAAGGCTGCTGATGCTCACCACTTTCCCTCACAGCCAAGTCTCCTTTTCTCCTAAGATCGGTCCATCTGCAGCCCTCACCCTGAGTAACTCACTCAAAGAAGGACTCCTGATAGGGACCAACAGTCCCAGGAGAAAAGCCAGCTCGTGCCAGGCCCAGAATGTTCTAATGACTATGTCTACGGCCTCCTCTGGCCCCCTTGTCATTAAGAATCCTCTGTAGGACAGTGTGACACAGTGACCTCTGTCCCCACTTGCTTCCTCCTTCTCTTACTCATTCCTGGATTTCTTTGGCTAGGGATGTCTTCCCACAGTCATCATGAGTGTTTTCAAAGAGAACACATTCTCCCTGAAAGCCCATCCCACAGCCAGGAGGCTGCTTGGATGACAGTGCACTAGAAAGGAAGGAGCAAGGAGCCCTGGCCACTTTTCTCCCCCAGCTTGGCCACACTCCTACCCTAGATGCAGCAGCCTTTCCCATGGGCAGAGAAAATGATGCCAGACTCCATTCCCACCAGTCTTCCACCGAGTTTGGAGGAAACAAAAGCAGCAGTTATCTGAGCTTCTCCTAAGTGGATATCACATGAAACCTTTGTGGAGAAGAGCAAAGGCAGAGGCCCTACAACCCAATAAATACAAACCAGGGCTCTAGATGGTTTGCTCCCCAAAGAATACATGACAGCAAACAGCTGATCTGAGGCAAAAGACCCACTCAGGCTCCCAGGGGCATGCTTTGGAAAAAGATCACTCACCTTCTTCTAGCCATGAGCAGCAGTCAGGGATACTGCCTGACGGGTGCATTTTATACCACAGCACCTGGGGAAAGGGCAGCCTGAAGCCCAAAGAACTGGCACAGACTCCCCCGGACTCTCCCTTCTCCCTGGCCACACCAAACAGGTACCATTTCCTGATATGCCATTCTGGTGCCAAGGCCGCAAAGGGGTGCTACAGCAGCTGAGCACAGGGTCAGCAAGAAGGGAGCCCACCCAGATAAAAGGCATGCAGGCCGACAGGAAGGCCTGCCCTGTCTGTACTGCATCCTAACCAGCAGGTCCCACATCAGGGCCACAGCTCAACCCTTCACAGCCAGGCCAAAACTTGTTCTCACAAGAATCAAGCCAGCACACAAAAGAAAAATCACCCAGAGGAAATCTAAAACCAAACGGAGAGTCTGGGGTCTAGAATTCCACACTGGGTAGGACCAGTGACCTGATCATTCCTGTGGTAAATCAGCTACATTTGTTAGTGCTTTATTTGTTTCTTCTGAGGGTGAAAAGTAGAGATGCCCAGTACTGCCTGAGGAGAAAGCTAAAGAAATTAGATATGGCACTTTTCAATAAATATTTTAAAGCTTCTTAAAGAAATATGTGGAAAAGAAAAGCAACTGCTGTAAGGCCTGTTTTGCTGTTAAAAATTATTCCAAGGGAAGAAAAATACCACAGCACAAAATAGTTAAAAAAAAAAAAAAAAGAAGAAGAAGAAAAAGACAACATACCAAAAACACAAAAACCTGTCCCTGTAACCACCTTGGCCAGCTCACATTTTGACCCACGACGCAAAAACTGAGTTCTGAGAGGGAGGAAAACTCACCTCCCACAGCACTCTGTGCCCAAACACACAGAGAAAAGGATACACCCAAGTGGCAGGCCCCAGACACCGCAGACAGCGTGCTGAGCGCGAAGCAGGCGGCTCAGGGTGCGTGCAGCGCTGAGACTGCAAACTCCAGGGCAGGGCTGAGAACTCCCCACTCCAGATACGCTACCCTAGCACAGACTGCCCGAGTCACAGTGCAGATTCACCAAGATACTACAGGTCTCTTCCACTATCGCTGCTACTAATTTGCTTAAGAAATTAAATCTCAAGTAAAATTACCTCATCCGGGTCTCTAAGGGCCACCGTTTTACCAAGTTAAAGTGGGGTTACCTGTCACTCTGAACATCGACCAGTCAAGTTGAGGGAAACATCTGAACCTCCAAATAACCCAAGAGGAGGCACCCCTCTCCCGTTCTCACCCAAGTCAGCCTCTCCCCATTGCCCACCAACTTGCCTACCTTCAAGATTAAGAGATCCAGTTTTTAAATAAAATCGTCTAAACAAACCAGAAGGAAAAGCCTTTACAAACAAGAGTGATGAATGCCCAGACTCGGCCCAGACAGCCAACCTACAAGTGATGACAATTATTTACAAGGGCGTGTTATCAAACAAACATGGTAGCACTCCCTAGAAGACTCCAACTTTTTCTCTTTTTCTCTATTTCTTTTAAACTTTCTTGTCATAAAAGCCAACTTACATTAAAATATACTTACTACAAGACAACACAACTAATAAAATATATAATAAAACTTACACAAGTAGAAAACTTTGAGGTATTTCTGGTTTGAGGTGGTCTGTGGTCGTGAAGTTTTAATTCTTTTACTTTTCAAAATTTAAACCTCGGAAGCCACATAGCAAAGCGTGCGTGTATATGTGGATGTGTGTGTTTTGTTTAAAAAAAAAAAAATTTGCGTGTTTCATAAATTAAAAAAAATTCAAATGTTGAAACAGCAGCATTAGGAACATTCACTGACTAGAGCAAGGTTATGGCATAATAGAGAAAGGGTTTTTAGAATATGCACCACTTTAAGGGGTCTGGAGAAAGCCGTGCCCATGAGCCACATATAGGGGACATTTATGTCACCACTTGGGGCAGAGCCAGTGCTGCAGGACTCTCAGCGTCTCCAGAGAGGCAGACCTTGCTAGGCCCCACCTAGGAAATCCTCTTACCCTGGCTGTGCAGGGGGCCCCCTGTGGGCATTTCCCTGAACTGCTCCAGGAGGAAGTAACATATTTCAACTTTTCCTCCATTACAGATATTTATAGCATTGAGTCTTATGAAGAATGTACTCACTAAACCATGATGATTTCTACCCTTATATAACCTTAAAATAGGGCAGAAAAATGTTTTGTCCTATGCCCAAGCCCAAGTTAGTGGAAAAAACTGGTCAGGGCCAGCAGGTGGGTGAGAGCCACCTGCTTTTGGACTTTCTCCAAACCTCTCCCTTGCCATTAATGCTCGGCCTCCACACGGTCCTTCCCCTCGATTCCTGGTTACCTGAGAAGTAGCCTCATAGCAAAGGATGCTGCTCCGAATGTGCCCGAGTCCAGTGTAGCTCTGTTCCAAACCCAACCCCCAGCTCCATCCTCCCCTTCCAGCTCCAGTCCAAACCATCCTCATCCTCATCCCAGTTTTTCCTCGGTCAGGACAACACCCGTTAATCCGTGAAAGACACATCTGCTGTTTCTTAAACTCACTGTCTAAAAAGGGAGAAAAACAGAATAAAAGGGAGGGAGGAGGGAGACAAGGGCAGAGGGAGACTCCTCTTTTGAGGAAGGTGTGTTCTTATGTAACAGTCTTCAAAGATTCCTCTAGGTAGAGTTTGCAGCATTAAGTTTCCTAAGACAGGAGATGGGTTTCTTTGTGTCACAGATTCTGAGACAACAAACAAAGAGAAAGCGGGAAAAATGAACCCCAAGAACAGGAGGTGGCTGAGGCTCTTCAGCATGGCGCTGGTTCTGCATTCACAGCTCAGCACCTCAACGCCTGCTGACGTGTCCGCTGTTTGCGATACAGTAGAGCAATGTGCTGGTAAAACTGATCCAATCCAAAAAATAATATTAATAATAATAATTATAATAATTATAATAATAATAAAAAGTCAAGGTAAAATAGCAGCTGCATTTTATGTGTTTGTTGGTGTTACGGGATTTCCAAAACAAAACACAACTTTTTTTCCTTTCCTCTTCAGATCCACTGAGTCTAGAGATCCACTTGTGTCCTGGGCTTAGATGCTCGACTCTTTAGGAGGCAGGTCCACATTGGTGACGGATGTCACCAGGGAGACAAGACAGTCCGAGGTAGTGCCGTTGACCGACCTCCGGATCAGGGACACCCGCTCCTCCACGCAGCCTGCAGACAGGCGAGCCTCCGCATCATGGTCCCAGCACTCCTCAATGGTCACACAGAGCTGGGCCAGGCCCTGCACAACAGGGTAGGGAGAGGAAAAAGACACCCTTGTTAGTGCCCCTCAGTGAGGACAAGCATGGGGACAACAAACTTGATGATGTTGCCAAGGATGAGGCAGAGCCCACCGGTCCCAACCCCAGCAGCAGGCCAATTAGCAGGAGACTGGGGAAAAATGCAGGAATGAGAATGCCTTCGCTTGTGGCACTCACCATCCTAAGCCCACTGGCCTTCCTCCACAGCCCCAAGAGAAGGTCCACTGAACCTCAACATAGGAAAAAGGAGGGGGGACCCAGGCCCCTCCTGGGGCAGACACAGCTGCTTGCCTTGGAGCAGTGATATTCAAACAAAATCTTATGCGAAGCCCAAATCCTGGGCCCAAAGTGCAGCAGTTCAGTCACAGTGGGGAGTGGAGCAGGGTTCTGTCCCCTACAATTTCCCACAGGCCATGGGACACCTCCTAGAGTCCAGGGAACATGGTGTGGCACCTTGTGCTGGAACCAACTGTGTGGAGCCAGGAAAGGCAGCAGAATGGGCAAAATGCACACACCCAGGAGCTCTCTGGCCTGCTCAGCACCAGGCCACACTGAGACCTCTCTGGACCTTGGACTCCTCCTCAAGGAACTGGACCAGCCACCCCAGCATCTCTGCCTTGGGAGACTGAGAAAGTCTGAGGCAGACGATACAGATTCTGGCCCAGCCTTCATCTCCCCATGCCTCAATTTTCTCCATTTGCAGCCCTGGGTCCCAGGGAGCAGCATGGCAGCTGAACTTAGCCTCCAAAGAGTGACCCCTGATGGTAGGTATGGTAGAGTGCTAGCCCCCAGTGGGCTCAAGCCTGTCCTTTTTCTGAGTTAACTCTGGGATGGGCAGGGGGAGGGGCTCAATGGAGCTGAAGGCAAATATCCTTTTAAGATAAGAAACAGTTTACACGGCTGGGGTCTTTAGTAGAGTATCCCCAGAGTGGAGGAGGCCAGATGCCACACAACTCAACCCACATCCAAAAAATGATGAAGGCAGAGAACAGAGAATATTTAATCAGAGCTAAGGCACATGAAGCATTTATGTGACAGGTATCCTGCCAAGCAATTTATTAAATCTATTACTACCCTGAGGAGATACAGGCTCAGAGAAATAAAGCAATTTGCCCAAAGTCACTCTGCTACTGATTGGCAAATCAGCATTCAAACCCAAATGCGTCAGCCCAGGACTAGTGGGCTCCACTGCACAAAGTGATCCACAGGGGGGCAACCTGGACCCTGAGGGAGCTGACTATCAGGCCCCATCACTCTGGGGCCAAACTCGAGGCCAGAGTACTGCAGAGCACTGAACCTCCCCAACACTTCCCTGGTGGGAGGGAGGTAGTGCACTCAGTGGCCTCTGACCTGGCTGCGGAGGAAGGCACTGTCTTGCTGCCTGACGCACCCTTTCTCTCTGCCCCACATCCCACTGGTCTTAGGTTCCTGCCACCCAGGCCCCTCACCGGGTGCTTCAGCCAGTGATCCTTAATGGCGGGCCGCATCTTCTTGTGCACAACCACCTCCTGCAGCTCCTCCAGTGACGGGTGTTGGCCAATCTCTTCCTCAAAGGGTAGCATGTATTCGTCCACCGGTCCTGGGGGTGAGAGAGGGCCCAGCAGGGTTACCCCAAGGTCCTGTTGCTCCCCACCCCACACCCAGGATGCTGAGGGCTCCTGTCCCACTCACCATCGGCAGCCTTGCAGCGGGACACGAGCTCCCACAGCACCAGCCCCATGGCATACATGTCAATGCGCAGGAAGGCGTCTCTCTGGAAGTTGATGGCTCCCTCAAGCACCTCAGGGGCCATGTACCGCCGTGTGCCCACCTACATGAGGACAGGGGAGGGTCTAAGAGTCACTGACCATGCACAAATGCACTCACAGCTGGACACGGAGCCCCATCCTGTGTGCGCCAGACAGGGCCAGAACGGCAGAGGTCAGAGCAGGACACCAACAACGACGGCAATCTTGATTCGCCACGTTCACGGAAGGGTCATGAGAAGTCACGGTGTAAATTATACCTCAATGATAATTTTAAAATATCACCCACTTGAGATAGCAGTAATCTAACACGGAACTGCTGCTTCTTTACTCGAGCAGCACCACAAGGGGCTCCACAGACAATGTGTATTTTACTGAGATTAAGACCAAAAACAAAAGGCAGAGGAGAATACTTAAAAATTAACAGTGAGAGAAAGACTGAGACTACAAAGATGAGCGGCCAAAACTCCAGTCAGGAATCTGGGCTTCTCAGCTGACTGGCCTGGAAGCTCTGCTGCCCTCCAGGCCTTGCTTTCCCCACTGGGAAGCGAGAGCATTGTTCTCAGAGGTCTCAGACAGCTCTGTGCTCACGTGGTGACCCTTGCCCCTGTGCCGTGCCAGCTGAGCAGAAGCGCAGTGTCTATCCCTGGACCCACCCCACTTTTTGCACCCCCTGAGGCTTGTTACCTGCCCATGGGTGTCCCCCGGGGGTTTCCCTGGCTCAAACCGAACAGCGAGGCCAAAGTCAGCCAGCACGGCCGTGAGGTCACTCTTCAGCAATACATTCTTGCTTTTAAAGTCCCTGTGGAGACAGGTGGACCAAGACAAAGCTGAACATCATGGTGCAACCCACCCTACTCCTGGCTTCCCACCATGGCTCCCAAGATACTGGAGCCTGTGCTCTACAGCCCCCAGAGACCCCAGACCAGGCCATCCCACCCTATCTGGGGAGCAGCGTCGAGTCCAGGAAGCCACACAGGCAGGTAGCTTTAAGACACTCCCCCACACACTGGGGCGAGAATCCCTAACTGCACTTCCACCAGAGCTGTCCAAGAAACACCTGCCCTGCTGGCTGGGCAGACCCCATCCCAGTCCCCACAGAATCAAAGGCCAGCCCTTGCATTCTCAGAGGGGCTGAGGGCAGGCATACTGGCCTGGGATGTGAGTCTTCTGAGAAGAATTTACAATATTTGGAATGTGAGTGAGAACAGAAGTTTAAATAAACTTCCTTGGGTTTCTGTGCAGGCCCAAGGGGCTTGAGCCCACCAGGAAGGCAGGGGCAGAGCAGGGTGCTGGCGCGTGTGCTCAGCTCCACCTTCAACTAACAGAGCCACTTTGGGTCCTCAGTCTCCCCAGTGCCTGGCACAGCCTCGTTGTGAGGATTACACTGGGGACAATAAGCACAATGCCTAGGGCCACCCCTGGCACACTTACTATGAACTACCGTTAGGGTGAACGGTATGGAGAAGTCGACATTCAACCGTTTTTGACCTACAAAAATGGCAATTTCATAGTCATTCATTCTTTGTCATTCACGTTCTTACCATTAGGGGCCCTTCAGCTTTGAACTCTAGAATTCGAGACTCATTCCCCTCCCTCAGAGCCACAGAACCACACTAAACCAGATAAGGCTGAGTCACTTAACTTCGCTGCACTACTGTTCCTTCATCTGTAACACAGGGCTGAGCACCTACCTCACAGGGCAGTAAGGAGCTTAAATGAGCTGGTGTTTCTAAGTGTTAAGAGCAAGGCCTGCCATTTAGTAAGCAGTATGATGAGGAGGTAACACAGCGGCTCTCCAGGTGTAAGCCAAGGACCCCAGAGGGCCCCTGAGACTGTTTCAGGGGATCTGTAAGGTCAAAATTATTTTAATAATAATCCATTATTTGCCTTTTTTAAGCTCATTCTCTCAGGAGTACAGAGTTTTCCAGAGTTTATATACATGTGATGTCATCACTCCGACAGTTAATGGAATGTGTGTGCTCTGACACAGCAAATATCAACAGACATAACCCACATATACAAGTTCTTTTTAGGAGAGTAAAGAGATCCTAACCAAAAAGTTTGAGAACCACTGAGCCAAAGTAATCAAGTCAGCACTTCCTCAAGTGGCCACTAGAGGTCACCAAAACCCAAGATGGTGAGGCCAGGCCGTGCCCAGGACACAGGAAGGAGGGGAAGGGCAGCGCCAGGTGGGCCCAGGTTTTGTTCCCAGTCGCTTCTGACACACCACAGAGCAGCTAGGCATGTTTATGAAATTAGAACCCCCCCCCAACAGGCCTTGCTCTCACCCTCCAAACTCTCTCTGCACCTCCAGGTCAAGTACAGGGAGGGTAACTGCTAACCCAGTACCTGTGGGCGATAGACGGCTTATGGCCCTCACCACGGCACCAGGGCACGTCCTCATGCAGGTAAGAGAGACCTCTTGACATTGTCTCTGCCACATGACACAGTTCGTTCCACGTGATGATGTTCCCCTTGAGGTAATCCGTGAGGGAGCCCTAGAGGAGACAGCACAGAACTTGGGCACAGGGTCTGGGTACAGGACAGGACCCAGCCCAGCCCTGGGAGGGCTGCCTCTGTGGACCAATGGCTGGAAGGCTGGAATTGATATGGAAGGTATATGAGGCTAGGAGGGGTCAGGGGGTATTAATTATGAAGTCACTACTCTTATTCATAAGAACATATCCCAGGGTTAGGGGTTCTTACTGTAGACATTCATGTCCACACGTATGGCAGGGTCACCTTACTGTGGAAGGCCACCACCGGGACAGTGATCACCTCACCTTGGGAGTCTGTTTCCACGGGGCATGGCTCACCTTGTCGTGGAAGGCTGTGATGAGCCACAGTTCCACCTCGAGGTTGGAGCCTCGCTTCTCAGCGGCAATGAACTGCAGCAGGTTCTCGTGTTTCATGCCGGGCGTGCTGAAGATCTCCCGCTCACTCTGCCACGACTGCTTGTCCTGAGGCAGGGATGCAGCTAAACCCCACTGCAGCCACACCACCCGGCAGCAGAAGCACCACCCTCACCCCATTCCCCATCCCCACCCCATCCCCAGCCTTGGCATCTGTAAGGGAGGCAGGCAGAAGACGTGGACTGAGCCAGACGGTGGAGCACAAGCCAATAGTGATCCCTGAGATCACTTAAGGCCAGCACCTGCTTTATAAACGAGGCCACTGAGGAGAGTGAGTGGCCCAGTATCACCTAACAAACAAGAGGCAGAGCCCGGCCTGACATTGTTATGTGTCCTGGGCAACTGCTTGGGATAGACTGGCGTTCAGGGCCTCTAAGCAGAACCTGATGTCAAAACAAAACTTGGAAAATCAGAGCGGACTGAGGTTTGGCAAAGCCCTCCCCAAGTCCTATCATGAAATTTCACCAGCCCCAATGGGGCCCATTTCTCTCTCATCCCACCTATACAGGGCCTGGACAGCCCTGAGGTGGGAAAGCTCAGGCCACAGGAGGGGAGGAGGACCCAGAGCCCCTCACACACACACCTGGAGTGGGAAGATCTTGACAGCCACAAAGTCATTCATGAGCTGCGCCTTCCAAACACAGCCAAAGCGCCCCCGAGCCTTGATCTCCAACAGCTGCAGTGGCTTCAGGCCCACCAGAGGGGACGGGGGTGGAGGTCCAGGGTCCTGGGGGAGACCAGGGCTTAACAGAGTCTGGCCTGGCCTCCCCATCTCTACCCCCGCCCTGCCCCAAACCAGCCACCTTACCTCATGGATGTCCACGTGGCCATAGGGAGGTTTTCGATGCCGGTACATCCAGAAGGCCAGCAGGATGATGAGGGAGAGGCCCCCAATGGGCAGCAGCGAGTAGGCCAGCACCGTGAGCAGGGTGGGGGCTGTCGGGGGTGGCTCGTACGTGACTGGGGGACACACGGAGCCCTGGGTCACACAGCCCGCCCACTCCCGCACCTCCAGTGCCAGACCAGAGAGCCCTGCAGCCACTCTCCACCCAACTCAGGAGCTGAGAGCTCCAGGGCCAAGGAGAGACCCAAGTCTGCTCCTCCCACGGGCCCCTCACCTTCCGGGCCCCCAGCCTCTGGCAAGTGGGTGAAGCGCTCGTTGCAGAAGTTGCCTTCACAGCAGCAGAAGTATACCTGGGGGTTCTCCTCGGTGGCCACACACTCCTGCCTAGAAGCACATAATTTTCCATATACTCCCTCAACTGAAGGATGTGAGACTCTCTGGAGCCCACCCAGCCAAACCCCTGCCCACAGACCAAGAGCCTCACGGGGGAACCCTCGGGGGACAGTGTGAACCCACCTCCCCTAAAGTGGGACCCAAAGTCAGGAAGGGACAGCCAGGGTCAACATTCAGAGAGCCCTCCTCAGGACTGGGGCAGGGTAAAGACAGTTCCAGCAGGGCTGGGACGCTGGCACCATCCCTACTTGTCCAAGCTGTCTCAAGAACCCTTTGTCTTTTTCCTTCCGCCCTTAAATGCTTGGCTCAGTTTCATGGACATCCTGAGACCCACATGGCCCAGGGGGTGGTGTACAGTCCAGCGAGCCCCAGTGGACCTGAGAAGAGAGGTGGCCGGGCGGGGAGGGCACAGGCCACTGGTACCTGTCATAGCAGTTGAAGTCATCCAGCCAGCAGCCCTTCTTGACGAGCTCGATGGTGCCGGAGCTGTTGCGCCAGGAGGCATAGCAGTGCAGCCGCTTGTCCTGCTCGCCCTCGCAGCGCTCCAGGCCGCTCTGGTTGGTGCGCTCCAGCTCCCAGTTGGCGTTGTAGTAGATGCACTCCCGCGTCTCAGCCTCCCCACGCCCAGAACCTGTGCCCCCAGAAATGAGAGACTGCTGAGCACTGCGAAAACCCCTGCTCCCTGTCCTGGGTCCCAGGCCACCCAAGGGAGGCTGGGTGGCAGGTACCAGACCCCACATCACCCATCCATTCAGCACCTCTAAGCTTACTGTGTGCCAGCCAACACCAGCCCCCATCTTATTTTTCCCACTGCAACTGCCCCCAGGCCCAATTAAGAGGGAGAAAGCAGCAAACCTAACACCAAGGAAGGACGGATGGATATGCAACCAGACTGATGACTAGATGCACAAAAAGGGCCTCCACCAACGCCTGAGGCTCGTGGGTCGGGGCTGCTTCCCTGCATCAGCAATTAACGGAGGGACCCTCAAAACCCCAGTGCCCATCAGAGCCACTGTGTGTGTGTGGAGGGGGACCCAGCCCCAGACCTGTCCAGTAAGAATGGGGGCAGAATCTATGTTTTTAAGCACCCCTGTTTGTGTCAGGTGATTCTGATGCAGACCTCAGGCACCTCCGCCTCTGCTATTTCAGCCTCACCCCACACTCGCCACTGTGCCCACCAGGGTGACACTACTGGTGTGTCCCCCACATGCCCCTTCCTAGACTGGATGGGAAGCAAGGACACTCCAGTGCCCTTTCCATACCCAGCTACCACTCCTGGTGCTCTGCAGGGCTAGAGAAGGTCATGAAGAATCAGGCCCTCATGTTCAGGGTAAGGCTCCCAGAGTCACCTTAGGGAACATGTACCCCAAGCAAAATGAGTGCTAGCTGGTGGCTGAGCAGCGATAGCAGATGATCCTTCCAGCTGGGTGGCCCCCAAGAACCCCTGTGGACACTCTCTACCCACTCCTGTGCCCTCTTCCACCCCCTGCACCAGTGCCATCCAGGTGGCCGAACACCAGACCCCCAACTGCCCCTTCAAATATGACCTCAAACATTCACCAAATCCATCTTTCTCACCATCACCTCCAAAATAACCCCCAAGTCCCAGCCCCTAAATCTGCCCCATTGCCCCCAAGATCCTCACAGCCCTGTGAGGGGAAACGGGAAGGAGATGCCAAAGGAGGTTCCCAGGAAACAGATTCTGACTCCTAGACCTGAGGCCTGGGCTGAAGAGCTCCCAAGCCTCCATTTGGGAGTGCCCTGCCATCATTCCTTCACAGGGCATCCCTGATCAAGGGTGGCAGTGGCATTTACAACCTCGCTGCCAGAACTCCATGCACACACCCGAGAGGAAGCCAGCACCTCCAAAAAGCATCCTCCTGTCCTCTCCACACTTCTTGGGCACAGTGTGGGCTGGTGACCTGACACCATCCCTGGCTGGTCTCCCCTACAACTATTCCCATACTAGGAAGGAGGAAGAAGGGGTCAGATTCACCCCCACAGAAGGACAGTTAGCCAGCCCACCAAGAGCCAGGAGCCCTGTTTCACCATCAGCCTGAAAGGCCAGCTGGAGCAGCAAGAAGAAGGCCCTACCCTGACCGGGGGGGCAAAGTGCCCCAAATCCTGGAGGCGTCAAGACCTCCCTCACCCTCCACTCCACCTCTAACAGTGTCCATCATGAGCAAAGAGCTTGATATCCCATGGTACCCCCAGGGAGAAGGACAATGACTGGCTGTCAAGTGGGAGGGGGCCCCCCACCACAGGAGTGGCCATTCTCTAGTCAGACTCTACCCCTTCTGCATCTCCCTGGAGTGATGGGAGGCTCCTTCTAGAGGGACTAGCCAGTGGCAAGCAGCAAATCTCAAATCTCCAGGTAGAACCTAAGGGTTCAGAATCTCACCCAACCAGAATGCCAGTGTCCAGCCATGGCCCTAGCCATCTAATGCCATGGGACCTAGACTTAGACATTAGTAAGAAGAAAAAGAGTGTGGTCCTGCCCACCCAGGCAGCTGGGACCCAGCCTCATCCACAGGAAGGGCCTAAAGGGTCACAAAGGGGCTCATGCAGGGGTACACATGGGCTTCCGCCAGCCAGGCCCTTCATCCAGCATAAGGCTTAAGAGTTAAGAGAAGAACCTGACGGGACGGGGTAAGCATGGGAGACCAACAGCTGAGCAAGCACACCAGAGGCCAGGACCCAGGTTGGCACCTACAATGCCCAGAGGCCCCTTGTCCACTTGCAGCAGCATCCAATGACTAAGTTATGCAAAGCACCCAGTCCAGAAGGCACAGGGCCTCCTCTCTCAGCAGGTGGCCCACTGCATCCACAGGAACAATTCTATTGGGAGTCCCTAGAGACTTGAGACTTGTGGGGCCAGACCCCCAAGCCAGGCTGCAGACAAGGGAATTGAGTGCTCTCCCCCGTTCCCTTCTTCAACGCAGTCACCCCACATTGCCAGGCCCTTGAATATGCTTGGCTTCTCGACTTAGCACAAGTGATTACCTCTCGCTGTAAGATGCTCCCCACTTTCTCCTTTAAATTTCAGCTCTTCCCTCTCCCCAGAGACCAGGCAACCCTCTACTTCCACAGGCCCCTGTAACTCCTCCATCACCTAACTTATCATTCTTGTCAACCTGCTGTTATATAAAGGAATATTTCAGACATTCAAAAAGTGTAAAAATAATGTAACCAAAGATAATCCCCAAGAGAAAATAACATAATGAACACTTACGGAAGAAACAAAACATTACAAATGTGCTTGACAACTGCTTTTTAAATGTCAGGCTTCCCCATAAGACTGCAGAGTTGATGAAGGCAGAAGCCTTGAGTGTCTTGAGTGCTAGTTCCGGACACATGATAGACAGACAGACAGATGATAGAAAGATCAATGGACGGACAGAAGAACACAGTCATCTCCTGGCTAGGGCAGGATTTTGAAGGGAGAGGACAACAGGAGGAATGAAATCAGCCTGCAGCCCAAGGCTTAGGGTCCTCAGAGGAGTTTCCACCTCCACCCAGACAACAAGCAACAAGCCCCCTGTGCAAGGCTAGGAGCCCGAACAAGGAAGGTTGACAGACATGGAGCGTGGCCCGAGGCTGGCCCAGCTCCTCTCCAGGCCACTGATCAGGCAGGGACCCCTCTGGCACCATGGGCAGGACCCAAGTGCACAGGGCTGGGAACTCCAAATCTCAAGGCTCTAGGTAGGACCCAAGGGTCCAGGATGTGACTGGACCCCCATCTGGCCAGATCCTCCTACAGGTGACCGAGAAAAAGTCAGTCACGAGTTGGCCAGACTGTTCAAATCCTGGCTCTAACAGTTCCTAGCTGTGTGACCCTGGGCAAGTTACCCAACCACTCCATGTCTCTCTTTCTCCACTTGTGAAAAGGGGATATTAACAGTACCTTTTCCAAGATCAAAATGAGTTAATGCATTTTAAGAGTGGTTAACATAATGGCTGGCATGTTAGCTGTTATATTAGAGCCATACCCATCCCCTGCCACCTATGACAACCCTTAACACAAGCCCCTCTGGAGGGCCCCTTGACCACCAAGTCGGGAGTATACATACCCACGCCTGCAAGAGCTTTGCATTTAGAGCCCAAGGCGGGACCTGGGGAGACTGAGAAACTCCATGCCGCTCCCATACCATACCGGGTTCTGCTGCCAGCTGGAGATGCTGGGGCCTCCCCACTTCCTCCCTCCTCCCTGGCGCTCTGCTTCTGCACACACTCAGCTATTTATAGCCTCTGGCTACACTCCAACCACAGGCTGCCTTTTAATAGACACAGGGCTCCTGCCTACACTCATGGAGCCAGGGCACCCATGCACAGGAGTACCCACTCCCCCGACCTCCAACCCACTCATCCATCTTGGCAAAGGAAGCTGTGCTCCTAAGACAGGGTGCTGCGTGCCCCCTCATACCTGCTGCCTCACAGCCCTGAGGGGAGCATGACTCCAGACACCTGGGCAAGGGGCTCGCTATATCCCTGAGCCACAGCTAACCCAACCACTGGCCTCTATAGGAACCAGGTATATAAGTGGCAGTGTCCCCAAGAGTCAGTCCCTATGTTCCAGGGGCCTACATTTTGGTGGAAAGAAGTCCCCAGTTCTCCCCAAGCCCTCAGTCCAGCCGGGAGAGAGAAACCTCACTCCTCAACATACACCACCACCAAAAAAAACACATGCAGATTCCACTCTAAACTGACATTCCAGGGAGCTGGACCTAAGTTTTGACACTCCAGGACAAGCACTCCGGAGGTCTGTTTCCCCAGTCCAGTCAGCCTTGGACACACCCCTCTATGCAGTGGGGAGAAAAGGGGGAAATCTGACCAGGGTCCTGCCTTTGAGGGACTCCAAGTGCAATGGGGAGAGGGAGGAGTGACGGATGGGTGGAAAAGTGAGGGGTGGTTAAGGCCGAGCCTTGGAGAGAGGATCTAAACCTGGAGTGGCCACGCCTCCCCTGGGGACCCAGGCTCTGGTCTTGGGGTGCGTCCAGCCCAGTCAGCATCTCCCAGAGGAACTGCAGACCCCAGCAGCCACTGGGCCATGGCACTCCACCCTTGGCTCCTGGAGGCCCCTGGGGAGCCCCTGCCCTCTCCAGGGGGGTAGGTACCCAGCCCCAGCCATGTAGGCAGTGTGGAGCACTGAGACAGAAATGCCACCCGCCACCTCAGGCCCCTTCTGCCAGCACACCGAGGAGCCCCCTCCCAGAAGCCTGTACACTGAGAGGTAGCCAAGTGAGAACGACAGAGGGAACCTGGCATTCTCCCTCACTGTCCAGCCTCCAGCTCTGCCCAGAGAGGAGGGGTAACCTCCCCGCAGACGGCAGCCAGGCTCCCTTCCTAGGAGGCTCCTTCCTTAAGCTCCCCAGCCCTCCCTGCTCAGAAGGCAGCCCTGCAGTTTGTTGAGCACCTGCCGCCCCAGCAGGTTCCCCCAGAGGAGCCAAGGAGGGCCTGGAGACCTAAAGGTTAGGGGTCCCAGTGACGGTATCCGTGTTAATGACTCCACCTCCCCCAATCCACACACCAGCATCTTCACCATCCTCCCCACAAGCAGAGTAAGGATGGTGGGGGGTCGGGGGGAGGCTGGGGGAACTCAGAGAATCTAAATGGAAGGGGAAGGGGACGAGC